TGCATATTACTTAAATAATTCTTTGTAAATAGTATTTCTATCAACTCGACCCTCAAATTTTTCAAGAAAATAAGTTTATGCAACATATAAAAATTAAATGTTTATCTTAATCTTCTTTATCGAATCTCTGATGCACACTAGCCATTTTACGTCACTGATGTATTCTGTTCGTATAGGGTTAGATCAATTTCTAATAGCGATGACATACGGTATTACAGGGTTAGTTGAAATTCGGAAATACAAATTTATCTCTGTAACCTCGCTCAACATAGTATACACAGCTGGACGTTCAAGAGTACATGCTATTTTGTCTTCACCTTCATTGACTGACGGACTAGTTGCTGCCTTGGGGCTGAAGACAAGCAGGAGTAGTACCCAGGGAGCAACTTCCTCGACACACATGTAGTGTAACTTGCCTCACTCTGTCATTCTTGTACTCAAGCTCTCCGTTGCATGCGCTCAGCTCGCGAATATAACTAGACAAAACGTAACATACGCTATACGTGAAGTCGTGCTTTATACTTTACGCGCCGATATACGTTACGTTCTAGCATTACAATTCGCAGCAGATGATGGAGAGCACATATACTGTTGGTAAAAAGTTTGGAACCACTGATATCTAACGTTACAAATTAAAAATTATATATCTTACAAATATATACAAATTTTTTTTAGCAACTAAGATAATTTGCAATCAATCCATTATTTTCTTTTTATCGAATTATTAGCAAATGCGGTGACAGTAATGGCCATTATAGAGATGGACACTTTTTGTGTTCCTCGGAATTTCAACTTTAATTGCGTAAGCTCCGGCTTTAAATGTCTATATAAAATAAAATAACAAAAATTATATATTTTTACATTTGTCTGATACATACATGCTCATGTTCCTGTATCATACTCAAAAATTCTTGAATAAAAGGTGTCGACAAGAAATGGACGTTTTTCTTTTAATCGATGTATCAGTCCCAAACTTTTGACCGACAGTCCAGTTGTAATTTAAATCAATTTTCCACATAAAAAATTTAACTTAATCTAAATAATCGAGCCGTTTCTTTTTTAAACTGCTATAACTCTATTTTTTCATGTTCTGAGATATTTAAAGGTTTGCATTTAAAATAACTTAAAAACATGGGCAAACGTTAATCAATTAGGGTAGTGTTTATAAAACCATAAATTTCTTAAATTTTATTACGTAGTATAATTAATGGAACTGTTAAAGAAAATGCACGATTTTTTAGATACAAATGGACTTATTCCATTTTCAAGGAATACACTTTTGCGATAAAATTTTACAGTTAAACTTCTTTTGATTAATTTATGAGAATATCGTACGTCATTGATTGTGTGATTATAAATATAAAAAGATCATATCTATACCTCTCGAAAACAAATATGATTTTTATGTATGAGTATGAGACGGCAATTTTAAGTAAACAATATTCTTCGATTCGAGAAAATGATTGAGAACATAGTCCTTTGTTAGCATAGTTGGGAAGTATATCACAAACGAAACTGTCGATAGTTAAGGCAAATAAATTCTACTCAAAGCTTTAAAATGGAACATACGTAAAAATAAGGTTCTTGTTATGAATTTTATAAAATTAAATTTTATAATTGTAATTATAACATAGTTGTTATAATTCAATTTAATTTTAATTATAATATGATTAACAAATTATTCTTATTTAATTCTATTTAATTTTATGATCCGGATTGTGTAACATATGTAACATAATCTACTATGAATTTGAAAACTAAGCACGATATTGGGATAACTTTTAAAATATCATTAAACAACTAGAACAGCAAAGAATCTGCAGAATTTAATTATTAATGAAAATGACAAAAATGAAGTAATTTTATTGGATTAAATCATAAGTAATATTCGGTATTCAAATGTCGTTGATGAAGAATAATGAATATTATTGTAACTGAAACCAGCAAATATAAATTTGTTCTATTATGAATTCGTTCGCATTTGAAATTGAATGCGTTTATTAAACTTATCAATCGTTTTACAAATGCGATCCAGTTATATGTACCGCCAACATGCGAATGATGCAATTATCTTTAATTATAGTTTTGTGTAGTATGATAGAGATCGTGTTATAATGGATATGGAAGTTATTTAACTCAACCTGTTTTGCTTAAAAATGATGCAGCTATATAACTCTATAATTATATTTAGGATTATCCCAATTATAGTTTGGAAAACGCACAGTACTTCTTTTAAATACTGTTAATTTTATTTAAAAATTTGAAGCATGTTTTTTGATATAGTTTATTTATGAAAGATAATGTAACATTATCCCAAAGTTACAAACAGCCGCCAGCAATAACCGAATTGTTTCTAATAATATAAGTGTTTTTTTCAGAAGTCTCGAAACAAGCGGGTGTCAGTAGCCGACACAATCCACAGGATACTAACTGTAAGTACCGTCTGCTTATAAACATTATTTACTGTTAAAAGACAATTCCTTGAATTTATTTATACAATAACTAATATTGTGCATTTGTTCAATAATAAATTACAACACACTTATTAATGGAAACTATAACATCACTATATTTTTTAAAATAAAGACGTGTCATTATTTAACCACACAAATATCATATTACTTCCAAAAGTAATTTTACTGCGGTCTTTGTATATACTTAAAAGATCGTTCAACAAGTTCAACAAGCTTGTTTGATTTTCACTTTTTGGTTTTGTATTTTGTTGTTACTTTGTCGGATTTGATTATTATAACGTTGAATACGTCAATATCAGTAATCATACGTGGATAACAGAATGAATGGATTTGAAGTATGCAAATTGAATGGCGCGCTGGACAATCGGCGATCGAAAATCTAAATCTGTATACAATACGAGTGTACATGCGATATATAATATATAGAAAATAAAATTTATAATAGCAACTGACCACTATGGTCTAGCATTTTACTAAAACCGCGGAAAATCGACAGAACTACCGATGTGTATTGCGTGAAAAATAAAATCTATAATGGCTAACCACTTTGGTCCATCCACAGAAAATGGAAACAGTAATTGGTGGTGAAACATAATTTGTGTTACGTGCGAGTGAAAATAAAGTAGAATATATCGGGTGTTCAGAAAAACTATCTAATATTTATGTGGTACACGAGCACACACCGTACCGAATAAAAAACAAACTTCGTAAAAAATAAACATTTTTATGTGTTGACATTATAACAGATTCAGTATTAGCCTTTCGAAGATTACAGAGAATGATGAGGTCATAATAGCCGATAAGTAATTTGAAAGAATTATGTAATCAGATTCTACATGCTCGCCATTAATTCGACAGAAATCTGAATGTTTTGGAAGAGTTTTTGACTCATAGTCGGTAAGAAGATGCTAAGTATCTACGAAAGTGCAAGGAAGACATGTAAAACACCTTTCGTAAATATCGAGAAACCAATACTAAGTCTATCATGATGTTAAGTACAAGTTACATATTTAGTAAGCATTTTTTTTGCGTTAAATAGTTTTAAACTACTTTACGATTCCTATGAAGTTTAAAATCATTATTGTGTTTAATACTTAATTCTGGTGGACATTTTAGTCTTTCATACATTTTCAAAATATATATTACTTAGAAAGGCATAACCAGATAAGGAGGGGTAAAATGCTCCCAGTTTAAACCGACCTTCGTACACACCATTCAATAGATCTCTCGAGGAAACCCCTTTGTACGAAGTTCTAAGCACCTATCACTACTATTATGGTAGTTACAGGGTGGAATGCTATACACAGTTTATACTTGATATGTTATGTTCTGTTCAATAAAAAATTATTAAAAAGATCATAGTTATTTTAGGTGTGGATTGAAGAATTATAAATGCTGATTTTTAGGACATGGCATACCCTATGTACCTATCATACAATTATTGAAACGTGTTTTTCTAACAATCTACTTAAAAATTATATATATAACGTAAAGGTTAGGAACAATAGGTAGAGAAGGCAAAAAGAATTGGAATACTGCTATATATCTTATACTGCTGAACGTGATTTCTTTGACATTTTTGAGGCTAAAAATGTTCGGTAATTTCTTTCGCTGTGTATTTATTTCCAGGCGAGCTTTACAACTTAATCAAAGCTGAAGAGTAGTACGTAGTAGCTCCTAGTAATATTTCGCAGTAGCTTACGAACTCTGAAAGAAACAAGATGTGTCAAGAGCTAATATCTGAAGAGTATAAATACAGAGAACGAATAATTATAGAGGTCTGAAATATAATAAATGTGTCAGTAAGAATGTGCGAATTTTAACTACTGAATATATAAAAGTTTCTGGAAATGTAACCACTTCAATGAATCGCCGAAGATGCAAAAGGCCAGGCGGGTTCATTTGTTCCAGCAATATACACTGAATTATACCAACACCAATACACAGCCACACCTCCATTGTCTTATTATCGTAAACGATCAGCATAAGTCACATTTATTATGATATCGCGAATCCTACACATTAACTCAATACAATCGGAATCGGTCACCTATAGTGTTATAGGTTGCATTTATTAAGAGGTCTCCTATGTTGCAATTGTCCAACCTTCACGTATTGATTATTGTGTTCTATCAATTTTCGTTAGTAGAGGATCTATCGAAATGAACCATTTACCTGTTGCATTGAGGTTTAAAGTATTATAAAGTATTTTAAATGTCAATGTAGCAGGTAAATGGTTCAATTCCATAGATCCTTTACTAACGAAAATTTATAGAGCACAACAATCAACCGAAATACGTGAACATTGGATAATTGCAACATCGTTATCCCCACCACAACGATCGACACCCGACCGCAGTTAAAGGGTGTAACACGATTCAGCTATTGTCGAACTCGACGATTTACATAAAGGTCTGCTTGTTATCTATTCGCAGTCCTTTTCTAGATCCGAAACTTCAATCGCTTATTATATAAAAGATTATGATCGCAATTCTATCGTTTTTGATGTCATTTTAATCAGAAAAACATAAGAAACATGACGGTGAAAGTTTTATTCACCAAAAGTAAAAAATAAAGAAGTTTGATTTGTGAGATTAAGGTTTCAAGCTCATCGCGAGACTTTAACGTTGCCGAACGCTTCGACTCTCAATCTTTCTTTTACTTCACTCGCGTTGTCCTTTCCTACGTCCGCCATGATAAAATCTTCGTTTCTTGAGGTGGATTCGATTCTAGCTCTTCATAATTGCAATCTCACGGTCCTGTTGAGTGTTGCAATTATCCAACGTTCGCTGTAAACGTCACGGACACAAACGTGTGGTGGCAACGGATAAAAATTTGAAGAAGAAGAGACAACGTACAAAGTAACACAATAGCTGTAGAAGGCCAAGCCTACGAGTTTAACGTTCATAATGCACAAAACTCCAACAAATTCATCTTGTTAAACTAAATATAACCGGATGAGTTTGACATAAATAGCAACGATATAAGAATTCAAAAGCCACTTCCTTTACTCAGAGACAATATCACCAATTTTTCTTCTATAATAGGAAGTATGAAAACCGTTCTATCCAACAAAGAATTTATCTGCCAGATGATCTCAATAAACTCTGTCAAAATAAATACAAATACAGCGGACACTTATAGACAATTTTTTCAGTTCCTGAAACAAAATAAAATAGTATTTCACATATATCAACCAAACCAGGAAAAAGCATACGGAGTAATAACAAGACATTTACATCATAGTGTATCAACAACAGACATAAATAACGAATTTGTAGAGAATGGATTTAAAATTTAAAATATTACTAGCATCGTAGTTGGAAACCAAGGGATCCATTGCCCTTTTTTTCGTAGATTAACAATCAAATAATGGTAATAAAGAAATTTATAATTTGAGATATCTCCTTTACACCATGGTAGAAGTAAAGAAAAAGTAAAGAAATACCACAATGCTTTTAATTCCAAAAATATGGTCATACAGAAAGATATCTTATAAAGCCATTTTACTGCGTGAAATGTACAGAAAACTACCTCTCTAACACTGGCAATAAACCTAGAGATACACCAGCAAAATGTATATACGCTGTGCGATGGTGCCTATTCTGCCAATTATAATGCCTGCAGCGTATACAGAGACCTACAAAAAACTAAAGGTGAACTAGTCAACAACGCAATAATATTCTGGATTAAGATAGCAAGAAGAAACCGAAGTTATTATAAGCATAATATAAATAATATAGCATTGATATCTCTCGTCAAAAATATAGAATCATATAACGAAATACATCGCGATTTTAGAGTTACTTTGTGGAAGGAACACCAGTGACCTACTAAAACGAAAACAAGAAATAGAAATTTTTCTCAATGTACAAGAAAGTATACATGTTCTTGGTTTCAGAAATTCATTGTACCAGCAGAAATTATTTTCAATTTCTTCAAATACAAAATGCATCTATCACACTATGCATTCAGACAGAAGTATTCCCACAGAGAAATTGCAACAATTATAAATGAAAAGGTGTCACACTACGTAAGAGGAAAATATAACTAAAACTCTATATATACCGCAGCATTAAAGTTAAAGACATTTATAGCTGTTTACTTATACCTATGACATACTGTCCATTACGACAGCAAGTAACAAAACAGCAATTCGACAATTATTTCAACACATTAGAAGAAAGATTTACAGTAGGAAGGGATTTTAACGCGAAACATCCACAATGGGTTTCATGATTCATAAATCCCAAAGGTAGAGAACTACAAAAAAACAATGATCATAAAAAATTACGATCTATTTGTACAAGTAAATCAAATTATTGGCCAACTGTTGGCTATGTAGATCTCGTATATTTCTACATATCAAGATATTCCAATAAAGTATTTTAATAGTACCGTAAAATTTGTGTCTCATCGGATTGTTCGTCAACTATATTTACATATAGTTAAAAAATAGTGGTAAAGGAAGAACGCCCCTCTCTATATAACGCAAAACCTAACTGGGTTTAAGGCTTAGAGTTTTATAATGCTCGAGTGTTCGAAGCTTCAAAGCCCAATCTTGAAGCCTCGGAGTCTCTACCCGAGTTTTTGAAAAAATAGTAAATTACAAGAGTTTATAAAAAATGAATATTTTTGATCGAAAAAGAAAAGAATTCTACTCTTAATCTCAAATATTTTAAAAGTTGAACTTCAAGTTTTAAATTTTCAAATTTCGTAGGCTTATGTTTCACTGTATTAATATAGCAGAAGACTTCAGATGGTGCGAGTTTTCGTGCAGAAAAACTCAAACGTTGAAGAAGTTCAATGATTGAGCCTCGAGACCTCGAACTTTTAAGATTTGATTAGCAGCTCCAGTTTTCAAGATTCGAAGCTCAGAACTTATTTTTACGATATCAACGGGTTTTCTGTTAGAACGAACTCCTTTCTCACTACAAAGCAAGTTACTGCTATACAAA